AGCTATGGAGATCAAAGCAAATGGAGACCAAAGCTCTGATACCACTTGTAGGATCGAAAGTATGTCTAGAGGGGGGTGATTAGACTACTTGACCAAATAAAAACTTAACCTTTTCCCAATTTTAGTTCTTCGCAGATTTTAGCTATTGTAGGACAAGTCAAGCAATCATCACACAATTCAAGCAAGCATGCAAAGAGTATATTGGCAGCGGAAAGTAAAGCATGCAACTTGCAAGAATGTAAAGGGAAGGGTTTGGAGAATTCAAACGCAATTGGAGACACGGATGTTTTTCCCGTGGTTCGGATAGGTGGTGCTATCCTACATCCACGTTGATGGAGACTTCAACCCACGAAGGGTAACGGTTGCGCGAGTCCATAGAGGGCTCCACCCATGAAGGGTAACGGTTGCGCGAGTCCACGGAGGGCTCCACCCACGAAGGGTCCACGAAGAAGCAACCACCCACAAAGGGTCCACGAAGAAGCAACCTTGTCTATCCCACCATGGCCATCGCCCACGAAGGACTTGCCTCACTAGCGGTAGATCTTCATGAAGTAGGCGATCTCCTTGCCCTTACAAACTCCTTGGTTCAACTCCACAATCTTGTCGGAGGCTCCCAAGTGACACCTAGCCAATCTAGGAGACACCACTCTCCAAGAAGTAACAAATGGTGTGTTGATGATGAACTCCTTGCTCTTGTGCTTCAAATGATAGTCTCCCCAACACTCAACTCTCTCTCATAGGATTTGGATTTGTGGAAAGAAGATTTGAGTGGAAAGCAACTTGGGGAAGGCTAGAGATCAAGATTCATATGGTAGGAATGGAATATCTTGGTCTCAACACATGAGTAGGTGGTTCTCTCTCGGAACATATGAGTTGGAATTGTGTATGTGTTCTGATGGCTCTCTTCACGAATGAAGAGGAGGTGGAGGGGTATATATAGCCTCCACACAAAATCCAACCGTTACACACAGTTTTCCAATCTCGGTGGGACCAAATCAACAAACTCGGTCGGACCGAAAAGGTAAACCTAGTGACTGTTAGAGATTTTCGGTGGGACTGACATGCAACTCGGTAGGACCGATATGGTTAGGGTTTGGGCATAATGTAATCTCGGTGAGACCGATTTTGGTAATTAGCTAACCAGAGAGTTGGTCAGGCAAACTCGGTGGGACCAATTTGCTCTTTCGGTGAGACCGAAAAGTTACAAAAAGGAAACACTGAATTTACATTGCAATCTCGGTGGGACCGGTTCGCTCTTTCGGTGAGACCGAAAAGTTACGAAAGGAAAACAGAGAGTTTGCAATCCCATCTCGGTGAGACCGAGATCCCTATTGGTAGAACCGAATTGCTAGGGTTTGGCAGTGGCTTATGACAAGTGAAACTCGGTGGCGCCGGATAGAAAGAATCGGTAGGACCGAGTTTGGCTTAGGGTTTAGGTCATATGTGGATATGGGAAAGTAGTTGAGGGTTTTGGAGCATATCACTAAGCATATGAAGCAAGAGGCTCATTAAGCAACACCTCATCCCTCCTTGATAGTATTGGCTTTTCCTAAAGACTCAATGTGATCTTGGATCACTAAAATATAAAATGAAGAGTCTTGAGCTTTTGAGCTTGAGCCAATCCTTTGTCCTTAGCATTTTGAGGGTTCCACTTTCACATCCATGCCATGCCAATCATTGAGCTTTCCTGAAATAGTCATCTTGGAATAGCATTAGCTCAATGAGCTATATGTTGTTATGAATTACCAAAACCACCTAGGGATAGTTGCACTTTCAGATCGTCACCGAACTTTAAGCGTGCGGACCCTACGGGTTCGAGAACTATGTAGACATGACTGAGACACGTCTCCGGTCAATAACCAATAGCGGAACCTGGATGCTCATATTGGCTCCTACATATTCTACGAAGATCTTTATCGGTCAGACTGCATAACAATATATGTTGTTCCCACTGTCATCGGTATGTTACTTGCCCGAGATTCGATCGTCGGTATCTCAATACCTAGTTCAATCTCGTTACCGGCAAGTCTCTTTACTCGTTCTGTAATACATCATCCCGCAACTAACTTAATAGTTGCAATGCTTGCAAGGCTTGAGTGATGTGCATTACCGAGAGGGCCTAGAGATACCTCTCCGACAATCGGAGTGACAAATCCTAATCTTGAAATACGCCAACCCAACAAATACCTTCGGAGACACCTGTAGAGCACCTTTATAATCACCCAGTTACGTTGTGACGTTTGGTAGCACACAAAGTGTTCCTCCGGTAAACGGGAGTTGCATAATCTCATAGTCATAGGAACATATATAAGTTATGAAGAAAGCAATAGCAACAAACTAAACGATCAAGTGCTAAGCTAATGGAATGGGTCAAGTCAATCACATCATTCTCCTAATGATGTGATCCCGTTTAACCAAATGACAACTCATGTCTATGGTTAGGAAACATAACCATCTTTGATCAACGAGCTAGTCAAGTAGAGGCATACTAGTGACACTCTGTTTGTTTATGTATTCACACATGTATTATGTTTCCGGTTTAATACAATTCTAGCATGAATAATAAACATTTATCATGATACAAGGAAATAAATAATAACTTTATTATTGCCTCTAGGGCATATTTCCTTCACCGTGGCAGCGGGGTCCTATTGGAAACTAAGGGATATTTACGGCCTCCTTTTAATAGAGAACCGGACCAAAGCATTAGCACTTAGTGAATACACAAACTCCTCAAACTACGGTCATCACCGGGAAGTGTCCCGACTATTGTCACTCCGGGGTTGCCGGATCATAACACGTAGTGGGTGACTATAACTTGCAAGATAGGATCAAGAACACAAATATATTCATCAAAACATAATAGATTCAGATCTGAAATCATGTCACTCAGGCCCTAGTGACAAGCATTAAGCATAACAAAGTCATAGCAACATTAATCTTAGAACATAATGGATACTAGGGATCAAACCCTAACAAAACTAACTCGATTACATGGTAAATCTCATCCAACCCATCACCGTCCAGCAAGCCTATGATGGAATTACTCACGCACGGTGGTGAACATCATGGAATTGGTGATGGAGGATGGTTGATGATGATGATAGCGACAATTTCCCCTCTCCGGAACCCAAAATGGACTCCAGACCTGCCCTCCCGAGGAAGAACAGGAGATGGCGGCGGCTCCGTATCGTAAAACGCGATGAATCCTTATCTCTGATATTTTTCTCCCCTAACGTGAATATATGGAGTTGGAGTTGAGGTCGGTGGAGGTCTATGGGACCCACAAGACAGGAGGACGTTCTCTAGGAGGTGGGGGCGCCCTCCACCCTTGTGGACAGGATATGGGTCCTCTTCGGTTGATTCTTTCGCCAATATTTTTTATTTATTCCAAAAATAATCTCCGTGAAGTTTCAGGTCATTCCGAGAACTTTCATTTCTGCACGAAAATAACACCATGGCAATTCTGCTGAAAACAGCGTCGGATGGGATTAGTTCCATTCAAATCATGCAAATTAGAGTACAAAATAAGGGCAAAAGAGTTTGGAAAAGTAGAGACGATGGAGACGTATCAGCGCTCGGTCTTCCCACCCGTTTCCAATGCTGGAGACGCGTGAACGGACGTGACTAAACGGCTCTGACCCGCATTCAAACCGGTTCACGTCCGTCCGTATGTCGGCATTAAACAGGCGTGACAAACGAGAAACCTACTCCGGTGCCCGCATTGACATAGTCCACCGCTTGTCCTAGTCGGCACCTGCTATTTTAGCGGTGCCTCCTTGGCCAGCACGACTAGCACAGCACCACCTCCGTCGTGAGCATTTGAGAGATGTGGGAGAGGCTCGCAACGGAGCAGAAGCAGGAGTTGGTCGGCATTGCGGCCGCCTGGTAGGCCCGTCGTGCTAACCGGATAGAGGTTCTCTTGTCGGCGAGCTCACCGGAGGGCAGTGACGGGGCAAAGACGACATACTAGGTGTACGAAGACGAGTTGGTGCCACCGCCCCCGCTGGTCCATGCCAGCATCACCTTGGAGGAGGCAAGGGCGCACTTCAACGTCGCAATGGCGAAAGAGCTGCAGGTGTCGCCGGTGTTTGTGTTCTCGCGGGAGGACCAAAGTACAACCTGCGGCTCCTCGACGAGCACCGGCTCATGAAGGGGCAAATCGCCGATGAGCAGGCGAACGACCATGTCGTCACGGCAATGGTTACAGAGGATCAAGACTTCCTGGATGAGCAGCCGGTGATGTACCAGTCTCTGCGCACCGCCCGCGAGATCCGCCACGAGCTATAGCGATCGCGCGTCCTATGGAAGGAGAGGGACGCATGTTTGCAAAGATCGACACAGAGGTGGCCGGAGAGGAGGTCCAGGCAACCGCAGACAGCGTCGGTCGCGTCGCCATCGTGGTTTGTGCCACACGGCCATGACCACGAGATCGGCATCGTCGACAAGGCGCACTCCCGCAAGGAAGAGTAGCACACGGGACGCCGCCATGGCTTGGGTACCGAGAAGGCCACTCCTATTCTTCCCCTCCTGTTGATGCACCGCCGGCGAGCTTGCCAGACGTAAAGAAGACGAGATGTGTGACACGGACTCCGCCACGATTGGCGATCATTTAGATTAGGTTAAAAGAATATCGCCCGCTTTTATTTATTTGCAATGTATGAAAAACGCAATGAATTTGATCTGTTTGAATGAAATCATCTAATCTGCAAAATTTGGCCATTTTGTTCAAATTTCTTTGAAATGATTGGACACGGTTGGATAGCCAGTTTTCACATCAATGTCCATGAACTGGTCCTGACCAATACGCAGATAAATACATGGCCGCGTTGGAGAGATGGTGACCATACGTATAATACAAGCCACTAATCCCAGCTCGTATTTTTTACTGGTCTCAAGCAGTAGGATTTTATGCAATCCAGCTCATGCCTTGTTCATTCTAGTCAACCTCGGCCCCACCCTGTCCTCCACCAAGGGCCAAGGCTCACCCTACCCACTCTATGGGGATCTCCGTCGCCGTCCCCTCCCTCCTCCTCCTCCTCCTCCTCTCCGTCGCCCTCCTCCTGCCGCCGGCCGCCGCGCGATTCTCCTTCACCTACAACTTCACCGCCGCCTCGGACTCGGCCCCATCGGGCATCTCCTTCCAGGGCGACGCCTTCTTCAACAAGTTCATCCGCCTCACCCGCGACGAGCGCGTCGGGCCCCTCACCAGCAGCGCCGGCCGGGCCTTCTTCTCCCGCCCCATCCCACTCCTCGACCCCGTCTCCCGCCGCCCCGCCTCGTTCGCCTCCGCCTTCTCCTTCTCCATCTCCGCCCCCGAACCCTCCGCCGCCTCCGGCGACGGCCTCGCCTTCTTCCTCTCCCCGTTCCCCTCAGTCATCCCCAACAGATCCGCTGGCGGCCTTCTCGGGCTCTTCAACTCCTCCGCCCGCAACGGGGGCCGCTCCCTCGTCGCCGTCGAATTCGACACCTACAGGAACGATTGGGACCCCAGCGACGACCACGTCGGCATCGACCTCGGGGGCATCGCCTCCGTGGCCACCGCCGACTGGCCAACCAGCATGAAGGACGGCCGCACGGCGCACGCGCGCGTCGCGTACGACGCGGAGGCCAAGAACCTCACCGTGGCCCTCTCCTACGGCGACGCTCCCCCCACGGACGTCCTTCTGTGGTACGCCGTCGATTTGAGGGAGCACCTGCCCGACGCCGTGGCCGTTGGCTTCTCCGCCGCCACCGGCGAGGCCGCCGAGCTGCACAAGGTCCTGTACTGGGATTTCACCTCCAGCGTCGACAGCAAGGAGCAGACGGTGGTGCTGTGGGTGGTACTGGGATTGTGTGGATTCCTTGTTGTGCTCGTCGGTGCAGGGATTGTTTGGTTCGTGAAGGAATGGAGGAAGACAGGAGAGTGTGTCCCCTACGTCGATATCGACGATGCAATGGGGTACGACGAGCTGACTGACGAGTTCATCGTGCAGAGCGGGCCAAGAAGGTTCCGTTATGCTGAATTGGCGGCGGCAACCAATAATTTCTCCGAGCAGAGGAAGCTCGGGCAGGGCGGGTTCGGTGCTGTTTACCGGGGATTCTTGAAGGAGCTTGGTCAGGAGGTGGCCATCAAGAGGGTCTCCAAGGGGTCGACCCAGGGCCGCAAGGAGTACGCGGCCGAGGTACGCATCATCAGCCAGCTGCGCCACCGGCATTTGGTCCGGCTTGTCGGGTGGTGCCATGAACACCGTGGCGACTTCTTGCTCGTCTATGAGCTCATGCCCAATGGCAGCGTCGACCAGCACCTCTACGGCAAGGGCGTGCACCTCACCTGGCCGACACGGTACGACATTGCACTGGGCCTCGCCTCGGCATTGCTCTACCTTCACGAGGAATGCCTTCAGTGCATTGTGCACCGCGACATCAAGCCGAGCAATGTGATGCTGGATGCGACCTTCAGTGCCAAGCTCGGCGACTTTGGCCTTGCCAAGCTCGTTGAGCATGGCAGCCAGCCCTACACCACCGTCCTGGCTGGCACGCTGGGCTACTTGGCGCCAGAGTGCCTGACGACAGGCAAGTCAAGCCGAGAGTCGGACGTGTACAGCTTCGGCGTCGTGGCACTGGAAATTGCTTGCGGACGACAGCCATCGGAGCCCACGGCGGAGCCGAGCAAGGCAAGGCTGGTGCCGTGGGTGTGGGAGCTGTATGGGAAAAAAGCCCTTCTCGAAGCGGCAGACTGGAGGTTGAAGGGGGAGTTCGATGAGAAGCAGATGGAGCATCTGATGGTGGTTGGACTATGGTGCGCTCATCCTGACTACACGCATAGGCCAAGCATCAGGCAGGCCCTGAATGCCCTGAAGTTTGAGGCGCCATTGCCTGTGCTGGCACCGAAGATGCCGGTGCCGACGTTCTTCCCTTTGCCTGACTTGGCTGCTCTGGTGTCATCAGTTGGAGGTGCGTCCAACACACAGGACCCAGGCGGCGTTACTGAGTGCGAGTCATCAGGGGCTAATGCTGGCAAAGGGTCTTCGGTGAGGGATAGACTTCTGGAGCCGTGAATGTGGTGGATTTTGTGAAGCTGCTTTCACGATGATTTTGTGTGTTTCGTCTTGTGCTGTAACATGGAGGTGTGATTGATTGTACAATTATATCTGTATGAGTTGAGTTTGGTTTGTATAGCATGAAAATATGAATTATATCGGTCAAAAGGACCGAACAAGAAGAAATATCTTGAGGCAGTTTGAGGTATTAGGTTGAGTCATCAGGTGATAAAGCTGCTAGATTGCTTATAACTGTGTGAGATGATAGCCGATACGAGCCAACTAGATGTCGCCACAGTTTTTGTGTAGCAGGTCACACGCAACGTCAAACCAACAACGAGACTAGAACACCGCTCAAACTTTCACATGGTTATATAAAACCGCACTGAACAGACAGACGCGTGTAAGCCAAAAAGTAGATTAGAATGTGCTGACGAAAACTTGTACAAATATAAGTTAACTAACAACATTTTGCTTTGTTATATCTTCATAATAGTCAAACGACACCATTGCAGCCAATTGAAAGTTAACCTGAGGGTCGGGTCCCTACTTGCAGTGCCAAATTAATTGGATGGTCTAACAACCACAATGACATCTTTCAACTACAAAATCTCAACACCTGTACAAACTAAAAGCACTAGGCCCCTATAGAAATGCTATTTGTTACCTCCCCTGAGAAACATTTATCTATCACTGCCCCTATTACACCATTCCATGAGCAAAATTGGGTTCCATCTCAGGAGGTGATGCTAAACCATGAACAAATAATTCAAGTCATCCACTGTCAGTCGAGTCTGACCGCCACCAGATTTATCTTCCCCAAAAGCTGAGGCAACCATCTCCCGCTTTTTCTCCTGAGACAAATTATACATCTTAGTACGCACTGCATGAAACAGTGCATCTAAAAATTCATTGCCAAACAGAATATATCGATAAATAGTACCCTCTCGTCGAGGACCAATGGGAAGGGTTACATCACATAGGATTTAACCGAGTGAGCAGTTGGAACTCAAAGCAAGAAATTAAATATTTCGTATTAAGATAGCCCTTGTGCAGTTTCTCTTTTGTAATTTTTCTCTCTTCTAACAAAATTTTACTGTCAGGGCCTTCCCTACAGTTTCGGTTCAAAAAGATAGCACTGTTTTGTATGGTGATCAAGTTGTACCCTATTCGGTCCAGGTGAATTCTGGTGCCTACCTATTGTTCCGGTTGGTCTCAGGTGATCCCAGGAAAATGAAGCTATATATTTACAACATCACAAGGATGTGAATAATGTTAGGGATATACTTAAAGCTACAAAAATAGACTTTCCAACTTCTTTAGTATCTCTCACTGCTCAAAAGGAGGGGCGGGAGTAGGCAAGAATCCTACACGTCTATACTTTTAAAAACTGGATCACTGATAAAAAAGGTGAAGACACCCTACTTGATGGTTCATAGTCCACGGTGTTGATTTGACCCACCAATTTCTCATTCGACTGAGAACAGTCTCTTAAGAGAAACCGGGACATTGGTACCTACGGCCAGTTTGAGCACAGAGCAAGTATCGATATCCTGGCCAATCTAAGCATCCTACGCGTATATACTTTTAAAAGCTGGACCGATGATCAAAACGGTGAAGACACCCTACTCGAGGATTCATCGTCCAGGGTGTCGGTGGTTTACCGGTTGACCAACCAATTCTCTCATGCGACTGAGACCAGTCTCTTGAAGAGAGAGACATTGGTCCCTACAGCCAGTATGAGCACATAGCTAGTAGCCTAGTATCGATATCCTGGCCAGTCTAAAAGGTGGGTAGGCATACTAAATGAAGTGATCTTATGCTGATGGTTTTAAATTTACCTGGAGTGCCAGAATACGATCTTCAACAGTATCTTTGACAGTTAACCTAGATACTGTGACTGGTCGTGTTTGGCCAATACGATGTGCTCTATCAACAGCTTGGTCCTCAGTGGTAGGATTCCACCAAAGATCGAGCATAAGCACATGGCAGGCAGCCACCATATTTAGACCAAGACTCGCAGCTTTGAGAGACATGATCATAACAGAAACCTGCCAACAGCAGAAATCATCAGAGAACAAATTGTGATACACTCGAGAAAGTTGCATGTAAAAAATATCATTGAACACGAACCTCTGGAACTGTTTTGAAGTCATTCACGGCTTTTTCCCGAGCAGCAACAGACATTGTTCCATCAAGCCTCCGGTAGGTCACATGAGAAGCTTTCAAATGAACCTCTAGCAAATCCAGCATTCTAGTCCATTGAGAGAAAACAATGGCCTTCTCTGTCGTCTTGGTGTCAGCATATTCTGAACTCATCCCATTGGTATTTTCAGAGGCAAGCCCAATTGTTTTTTTGCTATCACTACTTTGGGTGGGGTCAACTTTAGGTAATGAGAGAATGATATCTAGGGCAGCCCTCACTTTAGAAGATGCATAAGATGAATCAATCCCAGTTTGATTTTCAGTATGTACCATCTCTGTACAGGAATCATTAGACTGGAATTCACTTGTTGATTTGCACGAGAATTCAAGGGTGCCTCGAGAAAATAATGAAGTTGCATTAAGTCGGACTCTGCAATTAGAGACTGGACATATGCTGTCATCACCAGTAAGTTGCTCCAATATGCACTGGTTGCAAAAAACATGCCCGCATGTAGTAACGACAGCATCTTCTGGTGCATCCTGCACAATTTAAGTCAGCTAAGATTTAGGTATGAACTGAAGAAGAATATTAGGCATGACAAAGCTGGGGTCAAGAAACTGGAATGAAGCCAAGGGTTTCCTTTCCAGTTTTTGTTTCTTTTATCTAGTTCCGATTTATGCTGACACGATCTTAGGAAATTGCAATACCTTTCAATGTTTCCCTTCTGTGTGTCCAAGAAAGCAAACCCCCCTTTCGAGTATTTAACATTACGAGCCACAATTATTCAAATAAATTACAATAGACCACACCCCGCAGCATGACAATAGCAAAATGAAATATTGTAGAACATGGTGTAGATACAAAGAGTAAACATAGATATTAGGGAGATATTATAACTATAGGTGAGAAAGAGAAGAGGCAAATACACTTACGTTGCAGAGAGCACATATAGCTGAACAAGATTGCAAACAAACCAGCAATTCTTGTTTTCGTTCCATTGGAAGTTTATTCGCACTCTCCAATGAAGAGGTCCAGCTAGACTCATGACCTTTAACTAAATGAGGGTGATCACATGCCTGTCTAAGCCGTAAAAGCATCAGCAGGATATTCACGTAGTTTTGCCTAACAGTACCAGCAGCTGCATAGACCTGCAGATAAATTGTCAGATTAGACCAGGTGAGCAATTGACCATGTAGATAGGCTCCTTAAGTTTAAGAATGGAACACATAAATAAGGAGCCATAGTCAACTTGGCGTGAAGTGAACATGAAATGAGTGGTCAAACATGCCATCATCTCATAAATGTTCATATGAACTGTTTAGTATCAAGACTGTACAAGTTCTTTTTTGTGTGTTATCCAGACTGTACTAATCCAATCCCATAAGTAAAGTAACATGTTTGCTGTCCAGGTATGTGGAGCAATGTAATCCATATATTCCAAAAGCATAGATAGAAATTAACCAAATATATATGAGTTATGTTTCACAATACAAAGGAATAACATTCATAATTAAGAATATAATCCTGACTGATTTATTGTGGAGAAATAGCAAGACAATATCAAAAATCAAAATATTGAAAGAACAAAATAAAAGAATGCATCAGAAAGTGGGTGGATAATTAACACTGCGAACACACCTTAAATTGTGCTCGCGATTCAGCTTCTAGGGTGTTATAAAATGCACGCTCCTCACTTGTGAAGTTCACAGCCTTGAGAGATATGGTCTTCGGCGGTAGGGAAATGATTGGTTTTCCATCCAACATTGTCGCTACATTACCAAATAAATATAACTTTCAGCACCAATTACAAAGTTTAAAATTATGGGGACCACAAATCAACTACTTTGGAACAGAAAGAATATTACACAGGAATAGCAGGGTGCCAGATCATAAGCACGCAAATGAAATTAAAAGCACAGCAGTAGCGATTACGAACATAAAACGACAGAAATTTCAAATGTGGGAATGTTCTAAACAATAGGAACATATATTTGATCTGTCAATAATATAATGCATGTTCCTTGTATTAAGACCTAGAATACCCATTTTTAGAGTACTAACTGTGGAAATAGCCAATAGAAGTTTCAAATGGTACAAATTATGCTTAACATGCTAATTGATGATTTGATGCCATCCTCTAATGTATCATCCACTAAGATATTTTCATCAATGGTCTGAAGACACCTAGCAACTCCAACTCTTCAACATGTTATTTGGTGAAAGATTAATAAAAAAATATGATGATTAACTAGCAACACTAGCTTCACTATCATAATTTTCATAAATTCTAAGCCAAAGTTAACTCTGATTAAAATGTCAAATGTAAAATGTGGTTTAAGTACAATCAGCAAGCCATCTTGTTGGGAGACAACAAAGTAAGACTTCTTAGATATGCACAGGCTAAGAGATGGAAAACACAAATAGTAAGTTCAGTAACTGACCTTTAGTCCGACGTAGCATTACAGTCTTCAAAACAACTTGCAGCTTCTTGTAACCATTAATTGGGTTCCTGCTGATTGGCATTTTTATCATGGTGCAAAAATGCTTGTATTCACAATACGGTTCATATCGGAGAAATTTAAAATAGCTAAAGAGATCTTCAACAGCATTCTGTATTGGTGTCCCTGACAAGCACCACCTTCTTTTGGCTCGCAAATTCCAGCAAGACCCAGCAACATTGGTTCGGTAATTTTTAATACTTTGTGCTTCATCAAGAATAACCCTGAACCATGCTACTCTTGCAAGAGGTTTCTCTGGTAAGTTACTCTTCTCTGTTGTGGCCTTTTTAGTTTTCTTAGAAGAGGAAGCCTTCCTCTTTTTGCTGCCTGAAACAGGAGCACCATATCTGTCTGCCTTCCCTTTCTCTTCATCATCGCTATCAGGACTTGATTGCTTTGGTACCTCCATACTTACTATAGAATACGTAGTTAGCACAACATCATATTTAGTGAGCTCGTTAGGATCTTTCGTACGGTTGCTACCATGATATATTAGAAAGGACAAATTAGCTTTACTGGTAACTTTGTTCCTCAGTTCTTCCGCCCACTGCCGTAGAACACTTGTCGGGCAAACAACCAGAGTCCCAGCAGCTGGCCTGGCCTTAATCTCTACAATATGATTCTCTGTCTTAACTGTAATGCTTGTTGTCACTTCAGAGCTACATGTCTGTGACCTCCTTTTCAAACAAAGATCAGTGGGGTCGTCTTCGTCATCGTCAAGAGATACAGCTTCACACAGCTCTGGCTTAATGGCAGTTGACCTTGGTACTGGTGATCTTTCTGTCAATATCAGTGAAATAGTTGATATAGTTTTACCCAAGCCCTGAAAAGCATCAGATGACATCTAAGACACATTCGCACACTTTGCTGAACAGAAGGGAGAAATTAACTAGTATACCTGATCATCTGCTAGAATTCCACCAGAGCAATGTGAACCATTTTTCTCCTTTTGCACCATCCATGACAGAGCAATTTTCTGTAAGAATAAGATGAAATATAGTACTAAATACGCAGAAGCTGGTGACACTATTTTTCAGGGAATCACATTACATTGACTGCAAGGTGTACCTGATGCCTCAATAAAGGAACTGATAAAAGCCCATCAGGTGGATTAGCCTCAGACTTTGGCTGGGATATATCCTGGCAAACTTCAAATATGTTAAGCATACTGAAGCAGCACATGAAACTAGGTGCCAGAAAAAAATACTGAATGATGTTACTTTCTCCGTCATCAGATAAATTCCGTGCTCAATCACTAAGTTTTCACAGCAATAAAGGCAAACCAAGTGTTCTATAGGGTATGGTTATAGGATATCATAGGAAGATGGGAGACATAATCACCAGCAGTTACCAGAACAGAAAGTACTTAGTAAGCTCAAGAACCAGCATATGGGAACTTGCCCAAAAAATTAATAATTACCAACATTATCAGAGAATTTCTAAATGTTGATACTCAACAAACTAAAAGTGTGTATTAAGTATCCTAAGTGTTGCTTACGAAAAACTGCAATTGGGGATTTTGAGTGATCATTCACAATAAGGTCTCATTTAGTTTGGAGGATTTTCACACAAAAAACCTAGAAACAAGGATTCCAGAGGAAAAATCCGTAGGAATACTATTCATTTCTTTTGTTTTTGGAGAAAACTACATATCCAGTCAAAGCTCATTTTGTGCATAGGACCGAGGCAAGACAATTCCTTAGGATGACAAGTGTCATCCTATCAAATTCCTATAGTACTCCTAATTCCTACATTTTAGTTTCCTCCAAACCAAATGAGCCGTAATCATTATTCGGCCAATGATTTTGTGATTCGTGATAGCAGGTATAACCAAGTTAAATAAGTGTGAAAAGGAGGATCCAACAGTACAGAGGGATATATAACCTGCAATGCGAGTCGTAGAGTCGCCCTTTCATCATGCGACTTATATGCCATCCCGCCAAATCGAGGAACAAAAGGACTTGCAGACAAAGATTGCTGAAAGTTATTTAGTTTTCCTTGGATTCCCTGGGGTGGCAATATATGACCAGGAGCACGATGGCTACTAAGGTTAAGTAAATCAGAACCACCATTGACATTTGCACCGAAGCAACTTCTTGATAAATTCCCCCGAGCAAAGGAGTTGCCACTTCTGTGAATATCATATTGTTCATGAAAAGCTGGAGGCATTTGATCTGTCAGGCTCCTATACGGGTGTTGGTGGCTGATAGGAACTAAACTAGAGTTCAGCAACTGTTTTGTTGAGCCTCCTAAGTATTTATCAGCATCCTCTGTAGTAGAGTTTCTGCTTGAGGGTATTGGAGAAGAGTCGGTGCTAGACTCACTCTTGAAACCAATATATTCAGACTGGATCTGCTCACAGGATAATGAATCTGGGGAGGACATGTAGTAACCTGATAAAGATGTATCATCACAATACTGATCCGGAGAGCCTGTCTGCATCGAACTGCTTTCACATATATTCTGTGGGATCTGTTCCATCTCATATGACTGATTGTTATGCGGCAAATCATGCATTGACATTTCACCAGCCATATCAAGAGAACCATACTCTGCTTTGGGACATTCTCCAAACTTCGCCTGCAGATAATCTCCCTGTACAGTTAGGCAACTGCTATTGCCATTGTTCATGCTTCCAGTCGCCTCACCAATGTTCAGCTCAGTGTAAGAAATATCAGGGATAGCAGCATTATGGTCAAAAGAGAATGTGTTCATTGGTATGAATTGATTACCCGCCTGACCAGTGTTATCAAATATTGCCCCTGTATCCTCGCTTTTAACTTCACTCAAACCAGATTGCTCTGGGAACTGATTATGTGGCAAATCTGCAGTAGATATGAAATGAATATGATTTCTTTAAACTCAGATGATGCAAGCTATGTATTGCCAAGGAGAAATTTGACATACAAGTATTCGTTGGTGGCCCCATGCCCTCTAAGTGGTTCTCTGCTTTGACCTGTGCTTTGCCAAAGTACTGCTCACCAACATATGAACAATTTGACAGAACTTCGTATGGAGATGCATTTGCTTCTTCAGCAGCATTTATATGGTTTAATGTGTCCCTTGGTAAAGGTTGGTTGTTATGATTGGTAGTTCTGCAGTTTCCAGATAAATCTGCAAAGAAATGATCAAATAAATAGTGCATCATACGGAGTGCGACATAAAGTGTCAGTTTAAAGCAATTTTTCTGTTTCTCACCACTGCCAACCAAACCATAAGGCTTAGCATCGGAGTCATCAAAGGTTCCATCTCCTTGTTCAACCATTGCTTCCATCTGGTATTGCGAAGGGTCTATGTGTGACCAAAAACCTTCATCCTCCAAAAATTCTGCTCATTGATAAAACAATAGCTTAACAATGATTTTATTTGTTGAAGGAAAGCTCTCGTAAAAACATATGATGAACTGAGAAGCTAAGTCTACCTTCATGGTTTTCAAATCCATTTGCATAACCTGTCGTGTCCATTGGCACCTCTAAGGAATCTTGATTGGCCTGCATTTCATCCTCCAAAAATTCTGCTCATTGATAGAACAATAGCTTAACAATGATTTTGTTTAAGGAAAGCTCTCGTAAAAACATATGGTAAACTGTCTTGTCCACTGGCGCACCTTGATTGGCCTGCATTTGAATAACATGATATTTAATGACGGGGTATGACATAAGGGACACATTCCAAAAAATATTAATGATACAGCATGCCTAGATATAGACGCACAATCTTGCGACTGCTGAGCACAGGCATCCATATGATGCTAGAAATAGTAGACGGAACATTTTTACTTGATTTTATGCTCTGGCTTGTTAGGAAAAAGGAACATGCGCTATGATTATTCAACAACAAATTACCGCAATACCGATGGATGAAATCTGAAACCCTAGCATTCAACAGCTTAGTGTCACATTTTCAAACAATCAAGTAGCTCAAGTAACAAGCTGAGCTCTCAAAAGTCACATGTTGATCCAAATCCAATCATATACTGGAGAAACACCTTTCACCATAACAACCAATCACCAATGAATAATTGGATGTTCAATGTATTACACTGCACTGAGTCACTCACAGTAAGAATCCAAGATTCCCACCATCGCCCCGCAGAAAATCAAATCAAACTGATTCATCTAATTTTTATAATAAAATTACAGCCAGCTTAGAAGATCTGAGTGTAACTCCTTCGCTCCATAAGCACACCCAAGAAGGTATGACAACAAATAGCTGAATGCTGACAAAAAGAAAAACTTAACCGTTCTCACACTCTGGAGATCATATAAGCAACTAGAAAGTAGAGGTAGATGCATACATATCTACCCTACACATCGAAACAAGAATTGGGAGCCGATATACCATACCAGAAAAGGGAAAAAACAATGCAACTCCTGCTAACCCCTTATAATCCTCACTTGGCCACATGCCGCGATCATCAACGACCTAACTAGTCAGCACTAGTCCACATATCTCATCATAGACTCGTTGCTACCAACCACCCCAATCGGCTCAGCTGCCATACTACCACAGGCGAGGGCAGTGACCCAACACTCGGCCATTTTTTGGACCCAATGCATCAGGGCCGAAGCCTCTTCAAGTCAACAACCTCCAGTGACAAAGGCAGCACCATATGACCATTGCTCATGTGATTGGGTTCAAATACCAAAAGATGGATGTCATTTCCCAACAACATTTAACAAGCACATATATAGACGGCATAACTTAATTGCATCTCATGCTATAACTGAGCTTTTAGCATCAACAAGCATGTGTGTGCCACTTAGTAGGGAGAAACAAAAAAAAAATAACTCCACCCAAACTAAAAAGTCGCACCGAATCCCTTGTCAAGGCTTGATCACGCTTGGCTCACACACATCTCACTCGAAAAGGCACGGCGTCTAAGAGACAAGACCCCAGGCATCGCGAATTGCGGATATGTAGGGGGGGCATGGCACCCCAAACAGTCGTACGCGTCCGCTCCGACGCAATCCAAAACCCTAGCCCCGGGCGCGGCCAACCCTGCCTACCGAATTGGATCCGGCCGGTCCGAGCGAGATGCGAATTAGGGCAGGGGCGGGGCGGCAAAAGGCACGGACGCACGCACCTCGGGCTGCGGGTCCTCCCCGTCGTCGGCGGGCTCGCTCTCGAGGAAGGCCATGAAGTCGCCGAGGGGCATGGAGAGGTTGTCCTCGGCGCCGCCGCCGAAGCCCCCGTCGTCGAAATCCATCGCCGGTTCCTCCGCCATCATCCGCCGCGGCGCGATTCGATCATGCAATTCGCCGCGGGAGCGGAGCCTTGCTTTTTCTCCGCCGGACGAGCCCGAGGCCCCTTTCTCTCTCGCCCTCGTTTTTAATCGTGGCGGGGGTGGGGGGCGGCTGCGCTGCGGTGCGGTGGGCTGAGGAGATGCCGTCCGCGTCGAAGTGGTGGAAAAGAGGAGCAGGAGGCCAAGGGGAAAAATTCGTTCCGGGTTGGGGGATTTTTAAAAGCGAGCGAGCCCCAGGAAAGGGTCGGCGTCGAGGGTTTGGGAATGGCCGGGTACAGGCCGGACTCGGGTTCGTGGGGGGTGGAGTTATTTCGCGGCATGTGCACCACGCGGTGGGCGGACGAGCCGCGGACCGGACCCCGGTTAGCTGGCTGGCTCTGGGGCCAGGGACTCTGGCTCGGTTTTCGGAGCCGAGGGCCGTCCAGCTTTCGGGGTCGTCGTCGTGGGTCGGGTCACGGGTCCGTGTGCCACACGGAACCGTGCGGCGGGCGGGCGTGGCTTTTTGCAGGACAGCCCCGGGAATACGTGTATATTCGACTCGAGGATTGAAATGAAATGATGGAACCGGGATTGGGTGTCCATATCCATTGTTGCGAAATGGGAGACAGTGGTAACACGTTGTTGTTTAAGAAACACGTGATGATCATAGTAGGATAAAGTCCGCCCTAGTGCTCAATCTTATGATAGTTTAAGTTTGTACCATACGCTAAGGGGGCTTGCGGGCCCGCAACGCCGCCACGCAGGACTCCGACACCCTTGGTCTACTTAAATTCCTCTTCTGGTCATATTGCCTTTCAATCCGTCCTTGCTCCTTCTTGTTTTGCATTCGCGCCATCCTGTTTTAATGTTGCCGTTGTACCTTTTCGGCCACCACCCAGGTATTGTTAGACGTCCGCAACCATCACCCAAACGCGCGCTCGTCTTTTACTATGGCACCGTCCATCCAAGATCCGTCTGCAACTAGGTACCCTCTGTCCTCCTGCCGATACCACAACTTATGGTTTTTGAACTTCATGTCATTTTTTAGAGTAAGAGGAATGGCGGGTACTCGACCCCATCAAGATTGAGTTGTTTGTACGATGCGTGCTTGGTCGTACCTATGGACTTTCTACGCAGGAGCGCAAGAGGGTGGGGCCTTTTGAGAGGGCGTGCATGGTTCGTTTCATGCCCAGACTTGAGTATCAACAATATTACTTCTTCCATTTCATATGTAATGCGTATAGATTTTTTTAAAATCAAACTTTACAAACTTTGCTTAAGTTTATAGAGTAACTTGTTTATATGTACATCTTATAAAGAACCTAATGATATATGTTTTTTTGCGAGAAAACTTTCAATCTATTCATCTTCAATCATGGCAATACAACGTACATCGAAAATAATAAAAATTACATCCAGATCCGTAGACCACCTAGCGACGACTACAAACACTAAAGCGAGCCGAAGGCGCGCTGCCGTCATCGCCCCTCCATTGCCGGAGCCGGGCAAAACTTGTTATAGTAGACAGTCGAGAAGTTGTTGTGCTAAGGTCCCATAGGACCAGCGCAAAAGAACAGCAGCCGCCGCCGATGAAGAGTGGCGTAGATTAGAATGATCCAACCTGAAGAAACACAAACGTAGACGAACTGCGACCAAATCCGAGCAAATCCATCCAGGATAGATCCACCGGAGACACACCTCCACACGCCCACCGACGATGCTAGACACACCACCGAAAACGGGAACTAGGCGGGGAAAACTTTATTCCATCTTTAGGGAGCCGCCGTCGTCTCGTCTTCCTAAGCAGAACACAAACCCTAACAAAAATTGAAGAAACATCTAAAAACGGAGCCCTCCCGCCGGCAAGGGCCGAGATCCACCGCACCGCCATGGCCAGGCCACTGGAGACGAGGCGGACCGGCGGCGACGCCGGCGGGAGGCAAAGAAACCCTAAGCTTTTTCTTGGAAAGAAAGTGTTGCTAGCAGACGTTGTAATGATATATGATTGACATTTTAGATGTAAATATTTTTCTCTACAAACTTGATCAAAATATATGAGGTTTAATTTAAAAAAAAATCTATATGCACTACATTATGAAACTGATGGACTACAAAATATGTGTTGAACTGCATTGAATATCTTGGGAGTTGATAATCAATGTGACGGTGGATATCCTGGTCGGATGCTTTACCAATTATAGGCTGCAATGCATTACTAATCGTACCAGAACATAAGTGTACGGGTCACTCGCATTTACCCTAGTAGCGTATAAAGTTACATTCTTAGTTGTTGTGAGTAATTGCTTAGCTGTTGCCTTTATTGCTCAGTTGGGAGTATTGGAAAAAGAAAAAAATCGATATTCTTCATATATATTTAAGACAAAGCGTTCTAGTTATGTGCAGTAAATATGCACAAACTGCTCACAGTGGAGTAATTTAGCTAATAACGTAATGCATCCCAAGGTTAATTTGCCTACGTGGCAATGAGTTAATAAAGATAGAGATGTTTGTGAAACATAACATTTTCAATATAAACCTACAAGCTAATAAATGAAGTCATCCATGACACTACTACTATGATACTTTATGAAGATAGCTTTTCCAAAATGAGTTTACAAGCTAATAAATAAAGTGATACTCCTCACTTGTATAATATAGCATTTTCCGAATTGGATGCAGTGTCCAATTTGGATGTCGCGCTTGCGCGATGAAGAGCAGGAGGGGCTGCAGGTGTCCGGCTTGACATGGAGGAGTGTCTCCGTTGCCGCCGTTGGGCCATTGATGTGGAGGACGAAGCGATGGAGTATGACCTCCATCTGCTGCTCGTACTCATCGTAATAGCGTACACCACGTCTTGCGTCGCCAGCTGCTGCTGCAGCGGCTGGTCCTTCTCGTCGCTAAAGGAGATGACGATCTCCTCCTTCACCAAGGCGTCGGTCGTGATGAGGACAAAGGCCCCGGAGTGTGAGGGCGGCGTCGCCACGACCCTCCGGATACCATTGGCCCATGACTTGCCCGTCGAAAGTTGTAGATGAAGAGAGGAGGTGTTGAGCAATGCGATGAACCGGGATTGGGTGTGCATATCCATTGTTGCAAGATGGGAGACAGTGAAGGAAATATGCCCTAGAGGCAATAATAATGTTATTATTTTATTTCCTTATATCATGATAAATGTTTATTATTCATGCTAAAATTGTATTATCCGGAAACATAATACTTGTGTGAATACATAGACAAACCAAACGTCACTAGTATGCCTCTACTTGACTAGCTCGTTAATCGAAGATGATTATGTTTCCTAACCATAGACATGTGTTGTCATTTGATTAATGGGATCACATCATTAGGAGAATGATGTGATTGACATGACCCATTCCATTAGCTTAGCACCCGATCGTTTAGTATGTTGCTATTGCTTTCTTCATGACTTATACATATTCCTATGACTATGAGATTATGCAACTCCCGTTTACCGGAGGAACACTTTGTGTGCTACCAAACGTCACAACGTAACTGGGTGATTATAAAGGAGCTCTACGGTGTCTCCAAAGGTGAATGTTGGGTTGGCGTATTTCGAGATTAGGATTTGTCACTCCGATTGTCGGAGAGGTATCTCTGGGCCCTCTCGGTAATGCACATCACATAAGCCTTGCAAGCATTACAACTAATGAGTTAGTTGCAAGATAATGTATTACGAAACGAGTAAAGAGACTTGCCGGTAACGAGATTGAACTAGGTATTGAGATACCGACGATCGAATCTCGGGCAAGTAACATACCGATGACAAAGGGAACAATGTATGTTGTTATGCGGTCTGACCGATAAAGATCTTCGTAGAATATGTAGGAGCCAATATGAGCATCCAGGTTCCGCTATTGGTTATTGACCGGAGACGTGTCTCGGTCATGTCTACAT